GACGAGGTCTTGACGACTGGAGCGTGGTTTCTGTTTTTGTTTGGCTATTTTTCTCCCGGAGCCGCTCCGGAAATCCCCAAAGTGAGCGCAAAGTCTTGGAGTGAGCGCATCACTTGGTATATATATATATATAAGCCAATGATGGCTTTCAAGCCTGCTAGCTGCTGGTATTTTTCAATGGCAGGAACCTTGAGTTTCCGAACACTTTTCGCCATGGGGTTCCGAGCGGCAGCTTCTCGGCGTTCGCTCAGGAAGTTCACATCCATGAGCGCCTCGCCACCCTGCACGTCGCCGAAGACCATCGACTTTGAGGTGGAGCGAGTCGTCGCTGCCGCTGCGTCGGCGATTCCGGCGATTCCGAACGACCAGTCCAAGCAGCTGAGCCTCCAGCGATGCTGCAGGAGACGGATGTTGTTTCCATCAGATTGATGTTTGTTCACTGTTTAAAGATATCTTCACTCACGGGGGGGGGTTGTAATATATCGACTGGGCCTTTGGATGATGACTTTGGGTGTCAGGTTTATGGATGAGCTCAATTTAAAGATACACAGCGTCAATCAGCATCAACATTCCCCTTCCTGCTACATGGCTGCCACTTCGAATTCCTCCTATACGGCATCACAGATATGGGCGCGCTTTATTATCTTTGCGCGACTCTAGTTGTGTGACGAGATCCACATTGACATGGAATCTGGTGTCGCTGAGTGCTCGCTTGTTTTGTGATTCAGTTTCAGCGTGGAACCTACCGCTGGTGGTCAGTGAACACCTCTCAACCTCTTGGGTTGGTCCGTGGATGTCAGTGAACACCTCTTGGGTTGGTCTTGCCTTGGGTTGGTCCTACCTCTTGGGTTGGTCCGACCGTTCATGTTTTCGATCAGGGCTTCGGCTTCCCAGCCGTGTCCCTCCGTTCCCATGAGCCGTAACAGGAAAAGCAGCGCTCAGTTCCACCGCTGAAACGTCAGTTTTGGAGTGCGAAACGGAAGACCTTTGACGCAATGTATACACTCTGCTGGCCCCTCTCCAAGCTTAAACAAGCATCTATGGACCACCAGTTGGGTTCAAGAAAAAACAACATCACAGTGGATGATAGGTGTGCCACCAGGCATTTGCCACTTGGAAGCTCCCTGGTCCTTCGAAGACCGAACAAGTTCCCCCAGTCAGAACCGCGCGGTCTTCCGGCGGTTCTGGGATGTTGGGGGATGGTTCCCAACTCATGGGACTGGACAGACAGACACAGACCGGGTGGTGAACAAAAAGATGTTAATGAGTTAATGATTATTGTTTATATATATTATATTATGTAAGATAATGTAAGGTACATACTCCAGTCTCAGGGAGCGTTTGGAACTGGAATTTGGCCAACCGCTTGGTGGTTCAAAGGATGCAACCAACACGACCAAAGTGCAAACGCGGGGCCAGGGCAATCCAGCTCCAGTGGCTGACACCGTGGGTTTGGGGACTTAGTTGTGGTCGACCTCACTGATTGCGGACTCCACCAGGTAAATTGAAGAAAAAGTGGACAGTTGATGAATAAAGCCCTCCATATGACGAGGTTTTACAATCCAAAAGCGGGGGTTGTATCAACAGTTTACGTTACTGGATGTGGCTCAGAATTCACACGTCGACCGGCAGGCAGCCACCTTTTGAATGCTTTGAGTTTGAGTGTGTTGTTGTAACCCACGCTCATATCATGGACCACCTCCAAGGGGGTGGCATGGCATGAGATAGTAAATATATCACGTCTCCCAACCCCCGTGATGCACTATTACTGCTTATGTTTGGAATTGGGCACGACTAGTGTAACCATGATGATGATGATGATGATGATGATGATGATGATGATGATGATGAT